CGAGTGTGTACACACTGTGGCAGGAATAATCACACGATTGAGACATGTTTTATTAAGCATGGATACCCACCTGGATTCAAAAGTAAAGGTAAATCCACCAACTCTGTTGCTCAAACTGATGCGCCTGCCGATACAGCTTCAGAATCTTCCCAGAAGAATTCATCCAAGTCCTCTTTTGGTTTTACTCAAGAACAATATAACAACATTCTGGCATTACTTCAGCAGTCTACACTCACCTCTCAAGCCAACTCCATCTCCACATCACCTTTTGCCCTAAATTCTCATTCTCACAATGAACAAGGTAATAATGTCTATCTCTGGATTCTTGATACTGGTGCTACCGACCATATTGCCTTTGATCTTACAACCTTTACATATTACAAGTCCATAATTCCCATTCATGTTAGTTTACTAGATGGATCACAAGTGACTGCTTCAATTTCTGGTAGTATTACCATCTCATCTGCCTTAGTTTTACATAATGTTTTGTACGTGATAAGGGAAGGAGGGAGATTTTAACATCTTAAAGGGACGAGTATGTTAGCTTTAGGTGTTATGCTTTTATCGTGGCTTAAGGGAAAAGGACCTTCAGGGACGCATTTGAAAGCAAGTGGAGTCAATGATGGTTGAAGAACCATAATTTTGTGCTTGTTATATTACCTAGTCAGAAAAAAGTGAATTGAAACAAGTGGATGCAAGTGGCAAGATCAAGATTCAAGAGTGTCTTTAAGGTTGTTAAATAGTGTTTCAATATGGTAGAGAGAATCAAGGTGGTTGACGGTTAAATTAACACCACAGTTTCAATTGAAGGTGGAGATTGTTGAAGTTTGCCTTAAAACCTTAAGTGATGAAGATAAATAAAACATTTTTTGAGATTGCCAAAAACCAGGAAACTGAAAATCAGAAAGAATTTCTATTTCGGGCAATTCACAGCTATTGGGTTTGGTCTGATCGGTTTGTAGATCCATTAAATAATGTTAGAATATCGAATATATATTTTATATTAGTCTAGAGATACTACAAATTGTTGGACTTGAGACTTCAGGCATAATAGGAGGGGTGAATTGTGTGATTTGGAAAAATATGGTTTCTAAAAATTAAGCAGCGGAAATAATGAATGTAACTCACTTATAGGGACATGTTGAATACATATATGTTTCTGACAACTTGGTAAAATAATTTATACCAACCAAAATGTACTTATGACCTTTGAATGATGTAGGTCGAATTTCACCAATTAAATCTAAGGCCCAACCTCTAAATGGACAAGGATTGATTATCGAATGTAACTCACTTACAGGGTCATGTTGAATACTTACATGTTTCTGACATTCTTGGCACACTTTGAAAAAATCTATGCAATCTTTCAACATAGTTGATCAATACATTCCCTGTTGAAACAAAAGCCACTTTATTTTATGACCTGCTTGATGAGTGCCACATGACCTAGTATGGAATTGAAACAAACAAAAATTGAATAAGAGTAGAAATAGAACTTAATTAAAAGAAAGTAAAAAAACATAGCACAGAAATTGCCTTGTAGAAAAGATTCAACAATCCTCGACAACGGCGTCAAAAACTCAATGACAAATTAACAAGTGTACTAATTGTGTCGAAGTAATAAAATATAATATCGTATCTACGGGAATTGAACCATTTTAACAAGGAGATTAGTATGCCCTGAAAGTAAATATAGGGTGTTTTCAAGTTTAATTTGTAAATGTATTTTGCTAGAAGAAAGTTGGTAGAAAATTTGATATTGATAAAGCGATCAGGTTTTGCTTCGACTCCACTAATTATCATTGTTGCTAACTGCATCTATTTCTATGAAGTGATTTTCTAGAATTAAAATAAATTAACACAACGTTTACACCCAATTACTTAGTGTATAATTCATTCTTCTTAACGATAAATCCCTAATTCCTTAGGCGAATTCAAAGTAAAAATAGGCAAAAAAACATTTGTTAGTTTCTCACTTACAAACTTACAATTATTTTTTCCTAAATCATTTACTAACTTTGAATAATTATCCTATTTCGGGTTCACAATATTAGGATTAGTAATCGATACAAATTTAAATTCAATTTATATGTTCGTCAACACACAAATAACATTAAGATCAAGAATAACTGAATGATAACTAAAATATCAAATCATGACAAATAGTACAAAGTTAGCTACATAGTTAAACATATCAAATCAATTTTTTCTAACAAAACCTAATCAAGAATAAATTAGATACTCATAGTAATACAAGTTAATATCATAAGTTTAGAAGACAAGTACACAAAATTCATGGAAAAGGAAGACTTCATTGGTAGAAAACCAAAATTCCTAAGCTCTGGAATTGCCTTGTCGACATTTTCTGTCTCCGAAAATTGTAACCCTTGAAAAGCTCCACTTTCTTCCTTTTAAAACAACCAAAATGCACGGTTTCAAGACATCATTATGCACTCGATGACCGATTTCATGCACTCAATTGGCTTTTGACATCAACATCCTGCACACGATGCTTGTCATAATGCACACAATGGATTCCTTAGTGCACACGATTCTCTCCATAGTTCACACGAATTTTTCAATAGTCTTTTTTCCTTTTGCTTGCTGAATTTTCCAATTATAATCTTTGTTCCTCTATTTTTCACTTATTCAAATATTCACTCTTTCTTCCATAATTTTTACTCAATTAACTAAAAAATAACTTTAAATGATACAAAATGCTTGTAAAATTATATGATGACAATATGACATTAGTTAACCATCAGTGAATATCCCGAAATGCCAAATTAAAGTAATGAAAATTTCCCCTCCTCACCAAAAGTTTTCTCCTCTCTTTGGAGCTAGAAGCATCTAAGGTAACTCGAGAATCGACGAGTCATCTTTGTTTCATGACAACACATACTTCTTAGGGGCCCTTACACTCCTCAAAATCCATGTGTTCCTAGAAGGTTACCAGTTCCTCCTTCATCGACATCTATTTCAGGATTAATTTATAATTTGTGATAACATAACTAAGAGAGTCTCTGTCGAAATGGCTCTTGGCCCAAAATTTCTTAATCCCCCCTTTGCACTTGGAAGATGAGGAGGTAGAATCACAAGCGGAAGTGGGAACCCTTCCATGAACTTAAAAAAACAGATGATCCCCCATGGTCAAAGGGGTCACCAAAATATTACTGTCCTCCATACCTTTCTAACTGTTCATGTAAACACTGAACATCTTGGTCGACTAGTGAAAATAAATGATTCCCTGGCCACAAACAAAGTCTCTTGACGTACAGGACACAAAGAAAAAATTAAATAAAATCCTGAAGGACATAATTGTCTCTTGATACTTACATAAGTATTGAAACATCTTAACGAAGGACTAAGTATACGGGTGAAGCTGGGAAGAAGTGGTGTCCAGATGGTTCAATCATTTCTCTTTGAATCTAGTAAAGGGTAACCTAAATATTAGACGAGTGAAGAGACACTAGTATCAAGGAATAAAACATGTGTCATAATGAGTTCAAATCCTTTTGCCATCATCAATCTGGGAGAAAAAACCAATCCGAAGAAGGACCCACTTCTATCTATGCTTCTTCCACATTGCCCACATAGTTAAAAACAAAAATAGTTCCCACCCTCAATGTCCACCTAATGATAGACCCCAACATCTGACGATGGCACCAAATATGCACGTCCCCCATCACCATGTCGTCCCAACTGTCACATAAAAGATAACACTAGTAAAAAATTGGATTGTTATTTGTAAAAAGGAGATGGTCCCTAATTTATTCATCAACAAGATCAAATACACATGTCACCTTAAAAGCCTCATCGTAGTATAAGGTTCTTCGTTTCTTCTTAGATGCAAGGGCCACATTCAATTCATTGTAGACTCAAAGAGTGAAAGCTATGAGAGCGTCCACTTCCACATAAGTCGGCATGCAGGAATTCCCCTCCTTGTTTCCCCCAATGAGGGTTAAGAAGGGTGTTTCCACTCTCAACGAAGTCTCCCTCAGACCCGGAACTATCACTTACGGCAACTAGGATTGGTGGTATAACCATTAATTTATAAATGTCCATCATAAAAAATGTTAGATTTTTTATAAATGGCGGATACGGGAGACTGACCTCCATTAGATTCATTCACTTTCTCAGGTGCACCCCTATGTTGTTCATGGAAAACAATAAAGAGGATAAAACAACAAAGGGAAGGGTTATAAATGATACTTGAATAAGAAGATGAAACAAAAGAAACTACTTGAAGCGGAGAAATAGTGACAGTGTGAGAACTCTGACAAAGAGAAATGACAACTGAAAACAAAGATCACCAAGTGTGGGGGGAAAAAGATAAGAGATCACAAAAATAACAAAGGTAAATGCAAGGGAAAATGAAAATTGCAAAGTGACCATTATATAAGGAAATGAGTAAGAGAATCAATGTTACCAAATGAATAAAAATAGAAGGTTAATAATTAAGATTCAAATGATTCCCCCAAAACGTAATTATACTTAAGCGCGCTCAAGTGCCTTCGGCCAAAGCGCTACTCCCTTCGTTCCTTTTTAATTGACGTTTTAGCCAAAAGCTCTCCAACCAAGATACATGAATTGCAATAATTTTTTTCCCATTCTACCCTCATTCTCTTTCCAAATAAAACTCATTAAATTATTTAATTCAAATAATTAATTCCATATTTTGGGGCACACAACTCTCTCTCTTCCGTAACTACTCCTATTTTGGAATTAATCTTGCATGCTATAAGAATATGTACTGCTGTTTCATTAAATATTTACTTTTACTATAAAAATATTTATTGCTTATTGTTTCAATGAATGGCTAAAGGAAAACTTAAGTTTCCCACCGTAAAAATACTTATTCCCTCCAATTATTTTAATAAAAACGTAAGTTTCCCACCATAAAATTAAAACCAATGATGAGGTTGAACCAATAATAAAAGGAGTAGTATATATAATATGGTTTCATATTATAAGTTCAAAATATTTACATCTCATCAAATATGGCTTTAGATGAGGTTGAAGCAACTAATGACATTGATGAGTCCTATGAAGATAATTTACAAGAGGAGGTTGAAGGAAACAATGACATTGGTATATTTTTTATTTCATGTGTGTTTGTTTTTTATGTGGTGGTTTCTATACTTAAATTCACAGTGATATTTCATGTGTGTTTATTTTTTATGTGGTTGTTTCTAGTAATTTTGTTATTTTTTAAAAAAAAATTATAGTGTATGTTGCAGAAAATTTTGAAGCAGAATCTAGAGAAAGAAAGAAATTAAGAGTCTTAAGCAATGAAGAACGCATGTCTATTTATCATGAGCTACTACAAAAAAGCGTTGATGGACAATTACGTAAAGGAGCTACAAATGAGGTGGCTTCATCAAATTCGGTTCCTATAAGAACTGTTCAACGTATTTGGAAAAGAGCAAAAGAAAGTGAAACGCGTGATGTCTCTCATAGGAAGATAAAAAATTGTGGACGTAAGAGAATTTCAATTGATGAGAATCAAATTCGTGAACTTCCTTTCAGTCAAAGAACAAACATTCGATCTTTAGCTTTTGGGTTGAAAACCAATCCAACATCGGTGTTCAGGCTTATAAAATCAGGGCTTATACGGCGTAATTCAAATGCCATAAAACCATTATTGAAATAAGAAAACAAAATATCTAGGCTGGAATTTTGTTTATCAATGCTTGAAGGTACACCACATGATCCAATGTTTAAAAGCATGCACAATATTATTCATATTGATGAAAATTGGTTTTATATGACTAAAAAATACGAGAAGTATTATTTGCTCCCAGATGAAGATGAGCCATATCGAACATGTAAGAGCAAAAATTTCATTGCCAAAGTTATGTTCTTAGTTGCTCAAACTCGGCCACGATTTGACGCAGGAGAAAATGAAACTTTTTCAGGTAAAATTGGTGTTTTCCCGTTTGTTACCCATGAACCGGCTCAAAGGTCAAGTATTAACAGAGTTGCAGGAACAATGGTAACAAAAGCAATAACTTCGGTTAAGAGAAATGTGGTAAGATCATTCCTTATTGACAAAGTCCTACCGACTATAAGAGAAAAATGGCCAAGAGATGACTTGAAGTCAACAATATTTATTCAGCAGGATAACGCAAGGACACATATAAACCATAATGATCCTTTGTTCTGTGAGGCTGCTACTAAGGATAGGTTTGATATTCGTTTAATGTGTCAGCGTGCAAACTCTCCAGATTTAAATATCTTAGATCTTGGATTTTTCTCGGCTATACAATCATTGCAATACAAGGAAGCACCAAAAACTATTGATCAACTTATCGATGCAGTGGTGAAGTCATTTGAAAATTTTCCTTCAATTATGTCCAATCGTATATTTGTATCATTGCAATTATGCATGGTAGAGATCATGAAAGTGACAGGTTCCAATAAATATAAAATTCCTCATATAAATAAGGAAAGGCTAGAAAGAATAGGACAACTACCAATTCAAATTAAGTGTGATCCAATATTAATACAAGAAGTCAAGAATTACTTAAACATGGAGTAACACTTATTATAAGTGGGATGTAGTCACATTTGAGATTTTCAAATAGAGTTTTTTTTTTAAGTTTATGGATTGTACTCCTAAAATTTAGTTTATGGAGTAACACATTTAGTTACAATAACTTTTGCCATAAATATAGTTTATGGATGTAGTCACTTTTATCATATGTATTGTGCGTGAGAATTAAGTTTATATTTTCCTAAACTTTTGCCATAAAAAGTTACAGTAACTTCCTAAACTTTAGCAAATCTCCTGCACGTAACTTCCTAAACTTTTGCCATGATTTTTTTTAATGTATCAATAAAAAAACAATAAGAATGAACTTAAGAAATGCATTCCTAAATTGTAGCAATAACAAGGAATTCTTCTCCATACTTATTTTATAAAAAAAAATACCAATAATAAGGACTTCTTAAATAACAACTCCTACAACTTATGCACTTAAGCCAAATCTAAAATGAGATACTCCATACTTAGTCCACAAATATTTTTCAGTAAAATTTTGGAAGAAGTTTTTTTATCATCTTTTTTATCACAGGTCAAAACTCAGTATGGTGGGAAGATTCTTCTCCGTTTTTTTCTCCTTCTTCGTCTTCTTCTTCAGGAAATTTGTTCAAATCAAATTCATAATCTGCCTCTTCATTTAAATCAAAATCCAGTACAACTCTTGATAATACTTCTTCTTCTTCGTTGACATCTTGTTCTTGAATCTTGTCAAAAGAGTCTTCCACGATTTCCCCTTCTTCTTGCTCCAATGACTCTTCCACTCTTTCTTCTTTTTGAAGATCCATGGAGTATTTTGTTGTTCCACCACAACTCTTTTGTTTTGTACCGGATAATTTAAACAATGGTACTAATCCTTTTTATAGAATTATTAGTCTTCAATTGAAAAATTTGTTCCTTTGACAAAATCTAATGCTAAACATTTTTCTATGTAATATTGGAATATAATTTGAAGTGAGTGTGAAGTGAGTTATTACATATATTAAATTTTCATGGGAATAGGAATACGTATTAAGAAAGAGAATTTTATGGAAAATGTGAAGTGAGTTATTACATATATTAAGAAAGGAAAATTTTATAAAATATAAAGTGGACTTATTTAAAAAGTAAGGGTATAATTGGTAAATTGTAACCTTAAAACATCAAAACAACACTTAAATAGGAACAAAAAAAACTTCTAAAACGACACTTAAAAAGAAAAAGGATGAAGTATATCTTAACCTATGTACCTATGTCTCAATGATTAGACAAATATTTACTGAAGTTGTCACTAAATATTTTCTACTCCTCAACAAGGGATAACATATATTACTCATAGACTGACTTGAGTGTTAGAGTGATAATATTGTAAGTCCACCTATACAATTGTGTTAGTATGAATCAAATTATCTCGCAACCCCATCGGAGCAACACACGTCATCATACCATAAATCAGCATCAACAATGATTTCAGTATGAAACACGAATAATAAATACTTAAATATATAACAAAGAATAAATATTAATAATTTATTAATATTGTAAATTTAGTATAATTTTCTTTTTTATGTAAAAAAAAAATGATGAGAGCAGTATTCAAACTCTAATTCATCACAAGGGGGTTTAGTATTTTCATTGACTCAACAACTTCTATTGTCATATTTTATTTTATACCAATTTTTTTTTGTACATAATATGCTAAACTACATATTATTTTGTATATTATTCTCTCATTTTTTAAAATAACCGTTTCATTCATTTAAAAAAAATTAAAATAAATATTTCCTCTAATTTTAATAGAAAATCAAGTATTTTTATTTTCATTTATATAATTTATATCATCTATTTACTACATTATATCATTTGTATTTTTGTATGATAATAATGTTTTAGTAAAATTAGTATTATCTTCCTCTTTTATTAATCATGATTTGTTTTGTTGACTTAAAAGGAAAAGTTATGTATCTATCCATAATGGTAGATAGTACTATAAAAGATTGAGAAGATAGGAATATGAATATGTAATTAACAGTAATGTAAATCGTAAACGTAAGAGTCAAGTGTGAGTAAGTAAGTATTCAGCATTTTCTTCTTTTCCGTTTATCTCTTGTCGCCTCTTCCAATTCACTGTAAGACCCTAACTTTTCTTAATTCAATCTCATTATTTTGTTCAACCCAATTTCACGATTTCTCTTCAATTTTGTTAAATGTGTAATTATCATTCATGATTCAGGTTTATTAAGAACTAAATCTGCATTGCAGTGTTGTTGTGTATTCTGTGTTCCGCTGGAGAATGTATGAACTATGAACCCGTGAGTGGGGCTGTACTTTGGTTTAGAAGATACTATTGCTGATAAATCTTGTTCAAATAGTATCTGCCAATAATCTGGAATTGATCAGATGGGCAAGGAAGATGAGACAGACATGAGAAAACAAGTTGGTGATGATGGTTCCTCGCGTGTCGAGACTGGCGATTTAGAATCTCGCTCTCGACTTAGTATTGAGAGGGAAATGGGATTGCCATGTTGTCGCGTGTGCCACTGTGCTGAGTCTGATAAGCGCGGAGACGCTGCACTAGAGTTTTTGGGTATTACCCCGGTTATAGAAAACAAGGGGGAACTCAAGTCTGATGACCAGGGAATTGCAAAAGATACGCCTCTTAACCGAAATGTCAAAAGCCAATCTGGGATGATGGAATTTGTAGGCCCTGATGGGGAGGTTTTCGTATGTAAGAATGATTTGGAAAATGGTTTGTCTCACCAAGATACGTTGCTAGAACTTGGTTGTTCTTGTAAAAATGACCTTGCTTTGGTACACTATGCTTGTGCACTCAAGTGGTTTATCAACCATGGATCTACCATTTGTGAAATATGTGGACATGTAGCAAATAATATTAAGATATCTGACTTTAACAAGGTTGTTGGTTCTTTGAAAGAGTATGAAGCCTTGAGGGAAAGGACTGTTAACGGAGATCCTGGTCCTGCGCAAGATCATCCAAATACTACTGTGGATCCTGATGCTGTGGCTGCTATTCGGAGGCAACGGTTAAGTGAAATTGCATTATGGTTTTGTCCTCATAATAGCAGTAACTTTAACGACAATAGCAATGCGGACTCAGTTTCACAGCTTGTTTCTCAGCAACCGTTGAATATTTTTGTCGAAGAAGCTGGCCCCGTACAGAACACTGCAACTAAGTGGGCCGTAGAAGGTACTGGGATCCTCCTTGCTACAGGACTGCTTACCATCACCCTTGCATGGCTTATAGCTCCTCGTGTTGGGAAGGTACATAAAATCAAATATTAATTGGGATTTTTAACCAAACTTGCTAATATGTTTATATGAAAGCTTTTGCTTAGATATTTTTTCTCTGCCTAAATGTGCCCTTATATGCATGCATGGACCTATGTCAGCTTAAATTTTCACAACATTATAATGACAGTGATACAGGCATTGAGCTAGGCACGGTGTTTTAAATGACAATACTTTATTTCCCAACCCGTTTCAGCAAACTCCTTGGCAAGGGAGTCAATTAACTAACATTTTCCTCCACCCAACCATACCCTTAAGATTTTATTGAGAGCCTTATTTATGTATACTACGAAAGGGTTGATCATATTGAAATTGAATGGTCCGATTTTGGTTATGGTGTAGATTCTGGAATACGTTCATTTTTATGCTTGCTACGATAAATCATTCATTCATGTACCATCCAAATGATATCAACTGAAACAGATATTAGTTTCTGCTTTGTAACTTAATGTGCTGGAGTAAATTGATGCCATGCCAAAGTAACGATCACTAACTTACTCTAACTCTTGAATATTTATTTCTTTTGGAATTGGTGATATAGTGGATTACATTTTGGGAGAACATTTGAGCTGGGACTATATTTTTTATAGGCCTTTCCTCCATTTTTTATCCCTCTACTCTGCATAACCCGCCATTAGCTGCCTCTGTTCTATTCTATTCAGGGTTATGCTTTTCTAAGGATATCTGAATGACAGGGAAAGTTGTGAACTTCATTCCTCTTTCTTCCTACTAGATTTTGTCTTTCAGTCAATTATGATAAGGAGTTAGACTCTGGTGGACTTCTATGTAGAGTTACTTTTTCAAGAGATACACATTTCTACTCT